TAGTGAATATTGCTATCGAGCCCCTCGACACTTCTGATAACCCACTAACGAATGCCATGATTACCGCCTAAGCGTGACCTACGTCCTCCGCACTCCCTTATCGATCTAAAACGCCTACACCACTCGAATACCGAAAGAGGTGTTGGTGAGTGGAGACCTACACAACTGTTTAGGCGTCTTCTGCAGCCAGTAGACAAACAAAGGTGAATATAATACAGTAGGCGGGATAACTTATGAAATGTCAACCGATACTCTAAAATGTGTTTTCGACCTGAAAAGATTACTTAAGCAAGGTTGTTAAACTAATCACCGTGCAGCATAATTTTATAATAAGTCAGTTAGCCCAGAATGTCGGCTTTCGAACGAACTTCCTTCCGGCTGCATGAAAAAATATAATCTGTAAAAAATGACTGCTTATTTGGCATGCATTTTTCTCATTGATTTTCGATGCCCTTAAAATTCGCTTACATTTCATGGAAAACATGCATACAAATGTTCATTCTTCTGCCCATTCTGCAGAAAATTACGTTGTCTCCCAATTTTATACTCGAACGAAGGGTATGATTGGTTTTTAGAAATGTTTCCAATTGTAATATTTTTTAATGGCGTGAAATGGCCGTTCATAAAACGTCGTGTCTCTACATTTGCCAAAGTGGCTTGTAAAGTTAACAATATGGCTTAAATCCACTGTCAAATTCTATGTACCCATGTGGTCTCCTCTTAATACCGTAAAAAATTATGGTTTTCCGTACGCGAAAAAATATACGGCGTGTAGTTTGAGAACCCTCAAGTCAAGTGTAAGAGCAGGTCAGGTTCAAAATCATTCGGGAATTGAATAAGTTTTTGAAAACCGAGTTATACTTTTCATTAAAGTATAAAATTGGAAGAAAACGTAATTTTCTACAGAATGAGCAGAAGAATGAACATTTGTATGCATGTTTTCCATGAAATATAAGTGAATTTCAAGGGCATCGAAAATCAATGAGAAAAATGCATGCCACATTAGCAGTCATTTTTTATAGATTATAGTTTTTCATGCAGCCAGAAGGAAGTTCGTTCGAATGCCGACATCCTGGGCTAACTGACTTACTATAGAATTATGCTGCACGATGATTAGTTTTACAACCCTACTTAATTAATCTTTTTAGGTCGAAAGTGCATTTCAGAGTATCGGTTGACATTTCATAAGTTATCCCGCCTACTGTAAGGTTCTTGCAGCTCCACCAAGCTATGCCATCTTCCTAGCAGGATATCCTTGTGTACTCCTCTAGTGTGCATTATCGTCCATCCGTCGATAAGGTAACCAGTGCCAAAGCTGAAACCAGGAATATGGTGAATCTAAGCTTCGTGCGGCCCTCCACTGGCCGAGTGGACTGCCCATTTGCCCACCGGTGGTAAGTAGCAATTGAGCGGTATGCATGTGATGACTACCGCTATTTGAATACATGCGCTCTCTTCGACAAATATCCACCTCCAAATCTGCATAACGTTTCCTTGCACCTAGCCTGTCCGGCTGTTTTTGCGGACGTTAAGAAAAATCAGAGCCCTTTAATAGATCGCCGTGGCCCCAGAAAACATTTTTGAAATGACGATTACCACTTTATGTGGTCTTTGTGCGTTCGTTTTATTAGAAAGACCCTCCACAGTTTTCTGCGAATTTTCTTTACATCGATACTTATATGATTGCAGTTTCCAGCAAACCTGAGCATCCGTGACATTCAAGTCTCATTTTTAACAGGAAATATTTCCATCAAAATCCTTCAGTGCACTTTTAACATACCGTTTCCTTTCGTTACAGGACACCGTCTAGTTTTTTTGATTACCATCCTACAGATACCAGAAATAAAGTCATTCGCAAGTGAACCACATCAACATCTTTTCAGTAACTGAGCCGTTTTATAGGTTTTACCAACTTTATCGATGTATTCCCCATGACAGTCAAGTGGTCCTATCCCTCAAGAATCTTATAAACGGTATCAACCGTCAGTTGTCCTTTTTGACAGAGATATGGACGTCTCGCAAACTACCAAAGGTACCCTTACGAATGCAATCACGCTTTCTTATCCTCTAACTGATGCCTCGCTCTGCACTGTTGCTGATTTCCCCAAACGCATCATGATTACAGCCATTCAGGAACGAGCCCAAACGAGCATCCAATTCTCGGCCTTCTAAACTGACAAGCCGACAGTCCCACATACTCGGTGTAGGACTTTTGCTCCAGAATTCCTTGTAGCCAAACTCGCCATCAGGGCTTAAGGTAAGTTAGTCGGAAGCAGAGTTTTCTACAGTTATATGGGCAATAGACCTCATATTTATGCTCTCCGCTCCCCCCCCGAAAAGTAATATAGCCACAAGGCCTGCCTTCTCTATTTTCTTTTTAAATACACCACAGACGCCGACTTCTTAAAGGTGTTTATAAAAAAAAGTTGCAAGTTATCTCTCCGGCATGGGCTTTTCCATCCTTGCATTGACTTGAAACGCTTGACCAAACGGCAACGTCAGTGTCATTTTGCCAAACAGCTTGAGCATACTTGTCGTGACACCAAGGCTATTTCGCTGCCGTCAGTTCTGGCCCAATCCTGTGTGGCGTGTTCTGCGGCCTCTCCCGATCTGTAGGACCAGGCGAGATGCGTCGAGGTGCCCTAGCCTAAGTGCACAATCTTTCTACTTCCTAAAATTGACCGTCCGTTTTGGTACGGCAAGAACCGCTCATGTTTGGCCTGTCAGAAGGTCCAGATTTCATTGGTATCCTTTTTGTCCACTGCGCGCCCTTTGTGCATGTCCGCGCAGTCTTGTAGACCATTTACCAAAGCTCATCTGTTGTAGATATTTGCTCACTGCTACTGACCGCTTTACACGATGACCAGTTGTAGTTTCCACACCAAATGTAACTCTAGATGTGGTGCCTGCGCACTTTTAACTCTGGATATCCGACGTTGGTGTCTCCTCAACCATCAATACCGATCGAGTTAAGCTCTCTGAACTTAGACCCGTCGTAGCCCCACTGACTTTGGATGGCCCCGCATACGCACGACAACGAACCATCCCTAATCAAGAGGCGTGGTCAAAGTTTTCGCCGCCATCTAAATGTCTAACTCCTGACTTATGAAATTCTTCTAATCGGGACCAATATTTATCCTTGGTGGATTCCAGACGTTGCAGTAGGTTGGGCGGGTAACTTGACCCAAGTGTGATTAAACTCGGGTCGTCCGGCGTGGCCTCGTAATGCAAAGGGTAAGAGCGTTGGCTGTACTAAAGACTTCCCCTTACTGCGTGGGTTCGAATCCCACCGAGATGCCGAGTTTTTCTCAGTTGGGTCAATATAAAATTATTTATCTTTTGTCATGGTCGATTTGCAGTGTTATGCTGCCGAACAAGGATTCAGGGAAACTTTGTTAGGATGCATCTTACTTAGCCAATGCCGATTCCAATGACTATTTCCATAGGCAGGCATGAGCACTAATCACCGAATCATACCTCTACGCGCTCCAGCAGTTGCGTCGCTCATTAACCCTAACTTGATAACCCTTTATTTCTAATTTGCCTGCATCGAAAGCGTCCGGAATTCATTCAAATTGCCCTGCGACGGGCTCTTTCGTGTCTTCAGCGTAAACTAAGAATTTAAAAGTCTCTTGTGGCGTTTCCACTAAGGTGGATTTAAGTGACAGTTTGTCGAAAGTTTTTGACCGTATAAAATTCAAACTGGTAAATACGAAAGGAGCGAGAGCAAACGTCTTAGTAGGGTCGATCAGGGCTGTTTTCCTGTAAGAAGCAGGTGTTATATGAAAGATTTCATTCACCACTAGGTTTTTATTAATCGGAAATATCATGCGTTATCTCACTTTGACTTTTCCGCTTGCCTCGCTTTCGAAGTGCGAAATAAAAACAAAAGTCAAAAATAGTTTCAAAGGTGTCTCGACTAAGGTAGTAAGATTATTACGACATTTTCTGATTTATTTATTACCTAGAACCGGCCGTAATCGAGCGAAGAGCTTGGAGGCTACCCAAGTAGGCAGCTGGCAGTAAATATGGTGCAAATCAAAATCTCTTCAATGATTTGCAAATTCCTATGACATTGGACATGTCATCGTTTTGTGGGAAATATAATGGCCTAGGAAATAAC